TATTGCACAAAGGACATACATGGCTAGGTTTCGATCTTCTTCCGGCCCATCAAACCTCACCGCTTTCTTTCCCGTTATAAGTTCCAGAAGCACAATTCCAAAGCTATACACATCACTCTTCTCAGTTAACTCGCTCGTCAATAAATACTCAGGGTCTAAGTACCCAAGAGTCCCTTGCACGAGCGTGGTTAGCTGAGTGTGATCCTTAGGAACCAACTTGGAAGCACCAAAATCAGAAACCTTTGCAGTGTAATTATCGTCTAAAAGTACGTTGGTGGTCTTGATATCTCTATGGATGATGGGAATAGAAGCTGAAGAATGCAAATACGAAATGACACCAGCTGTTTCCGAAGCGATTCTCAACCGAGCTTCCCAAGAAAGAGGGACGTGTTTGGTAGTGTCATGGATATGATCGAAGAGGGTGCCGTTGGTGACGAACTCGTACACCAACAATGGGACTTGGGTCTCTAAACAGCACCCTAAGAGCTTGACCACGTTTCGATGGTTGATTTGGGAAAGAACAACGACTTCATTGATGAATTGGGATGTTTGGGATTCGTCCATGAATTTTGATTTCTTGATTGCAACGGTGAGTCCATCGTCCAAGACACCTTTGTAAACGGTACCGTAGCCACCTTTGCCAGCAATGGTGTCTTTGGCGTAGTTGTTGGTGGCCTTCTCCAACTCTTCTTGGCTGAAGATTCTTACGATGTCTTTAGGTGAATTGCATTGAGAAAGCTGTCGTTGAAGCACAAAGCCTCCGTTTTTGTGGAAAAAGCGCTGTTTTTGTTTGATGAACTTCAACTTTTTGTAGCATAAGTATATGGTTGTGGTGGCAATTAGTAGAACTGCGAGGCCTAACCCAATTCCTGCATTTTATTTGTATTGTTGTTTAGTATATTATAGTGAAAAACATGGGTGAAGAACAACATGGATGAAGAACATATAAAAACTCACCAATGATGATAGGAATGGAAGAGGTGGAATTTTTGGTGCAACCTTTTCCGCCTTTTCTTCCATCTCCATGGAAGTTCTTGGGACAATGACAGGTATAGTTTCCTTCGGTGTTAGAACACTTGTTCTTGTGCTCACAGTCATTCAGCCATGGATACGTGCATTCATCCACATCTAAAAAGGGTTCAAATAATCCTAATAAAACTTATTTTAAAATCATCCATAAATTGCCTAACCAGATATTGTCTGTTTTGGCTCATTACGACGAGTTTGCTACGGAGAGGTTTCCACAACCTTATAGGGAATGTTTTGTTCCCCTCTACAACCGATGTGGGATCTCGTAATCCACTTGCTTAGAGGCTAGCTTTTTTATTGGCATTCCGTTTGGTGTTTAGCTTTGATACTATATGTAACAGCCCAAGCCTATTGATATTGTCGGTTTTGACCCATTAGACGTATCGCCGTTAGTCTCACGGTTTTAAAACGTGTGTGCTGGAGAGAGGTTTCTACAACCTTATAAGAAATGTTTTGTTCCACTCTCCAACCGATGTGGAATCTCACAATCCACCCCCTTGGGGGCCAGCGTCCTCGCTGGTACACTGTCTGATGTCTAATGCTAATACAATTTGTAACCGCCCAAGTCCACTGATATTGTCCGTTTTGGTCCGTTACGTATAGCTGTCAGCCTAATGGTTTTAACAAGCGTTTGCTAGGGAGAGGTTTCCACACTCTTATAAAGAATGCTTCATTCCCCTCTCCAATCGATGTAGGATTTCATAGTCCGCCCCCGTGGGGGCCAGCGTCCTCGCTGGCACACCGTTCAGTGTCTAGCTCTAATACTATTTGCAACAGTCAACCTAAGCCCACCGCTAGTAGATATTGTCCATTTTGACCCGTTACATATCGCAGTCAGCCTCACGGTTTTAAAACACGTATGCTAGGGAGAGGTTTCCACGCCCTTACAAGAAATGTTTCGTTCCCCTCTCCAACCGATGTGAGATCTCATAATCTACCGCCTTGGGGGCCAGCGTTCTCGCTGGCACACCGTCTAGTGTATAGTTCTGATACCATTTGTAATAGCTCAAGCCCATCGATATTGTCCGTTTTAGCCCGTTACGTATCGTTGTCAGCCTCTCAGTTTTAAAACGCGTTAACTAGAGAAAGATTTTCACACCTTTGTAAGGAATGCTTCTTTCTTCTCTCCAACCAATGTAATATCTCACATAACTCGAAAGATAAATAAGGCTTTACCTTGGCATCCGTGATGGAGATATGGATTCCCCTCGTAACCATCCAAGCAGTGGCAACGATAATGAGTTCCATTAAAGATACTATTATTCCTTCTGGCGTTTAGTCCACAATCAAGTTTTAATGCTTTTCTAATGCCCCAACTAAGCACAGCCTCAACTTCCTTCTCTTCAAACTTATCAATATAACTTGACAAAAACTGAAACCTCCTAGCTTCAATTATAAAAGCATACCCACAGGGACTGAATTTCCGTATTTCAGTGTAATTCAACAACTCACCCACCGCCAAACTCAATTTGGTTAACCCTTTTGGAATATCCAACTGACAGCACCCACTCCCAGAACACAACCCATCAACGACACTACTTCTCCTCGTACACACCGAAATACACCCACTTTCAACGTTAGTCCCTTGGTCATCCCCCAAGATTAACCCAACATGATTGCACCCAATGGTAATGAACTTATTTTTGGAACGAGAAAGTGGGTACATGGTCGGCACAGAAAGATCCGTTTCGTTCATATCTAAATAATTATCTCCGTAGCTGTAACAATTTCGCACTATCGGCCGCAACACGTGAAGCTCACCATTAGTAGATATATTCATAACCCTAATATTGGTATGCATTAGAAACGCCTCTGCCTTTGGAGGTCGGTTGCGATCGGTTTTGTGGCAAGTAATCGAGAAATTTTGATTGAGATAGCACCTTTCTTTGATGCCGAATGGATATGGAATGTGCACGTCGCCACACTGTTCTTCACACCCGGGTAAGGCCTGAGATGCTGCCACGGCCAAGGGTGCTGAAAATATGGCTATGTTCATCATCACCAAGAATGCCATGATGGGTTTCATCTTCATCACCATGAGAGGACAAATGGGTGTTGTTGGTGTGTATAAATTGTAAAGATGTGAAAGAGTTCATTGCAGAAAGTGGGTGTGTGGACATTCCACTAAGCATGTGGTGTGGCGTGTAATGCATGGAAAAGGGTGTCGTAAAAAGTAAGTACTAGTGTGTACTAAAGCTTGATAATTCAAAAGTAAAAAAGATAGAAAGACAAACAATGGCTACAAATGGTGCCAAGTAACCCTATTTGGGGTTTCAATGTGGTTTTCGTAATAATGGCTGTGGATCCCTTTGTTTTCTTTTTTCATCTTTTTTTTTTTTCTTTCTTGATGAGTCTCTTTTTCTTGTCGGATAAATTCTGTGTTGTGAAACTTGAGAAAACGATGTTTTTCATTGTTTGAATCTTTCAATGTGTTTTGTGGGGGTCTGTATGTGTTCTTTTTCTTGTTCTCACTATAATGGAATGGAATTGAGACTATATTAATCCTATTGATTTGGTTGGGTCAATTCGAATTTTTGAATTTTTGTTTTATATTTTGGCTTATATTATAAGTTTTTTCCAGCATGGTTAAGAATTATTGGTAATTAAGAGAAAGATCATGAACTTATACGTAAAAAAACATCATCTCTCTTAGTATGAGATATTTTTTAGAACATTTAAGCCTCAACCACCCGATTTAAAGATGAAAAGTTTGAAAAACAAAAGATAAAGAAACTTCAATTGCATGTATGTATATATATATATATGCAAAGTGAGCGGCAAAAGTCATCTTTCTGGCATGGTTTAAAATGACCTATAGGCTGAGAGCATGAGGGATACACGGATTGGGAAGTTGACTGTGATCCAACCATTGTACACCTGACTATGGTTTATCTTGCCAAGAGGGCATTGAGGATCTCACTATCACCTATGCATGTGCGAAGTTACGAAACTTTAGAGGGAAAAAATTTGGGGACACATGAGCTTGGTGGTCCGTGCGAGATTGCTGTCACCACGAATACATTGCTGTCACCACGAATACATTGAGTGTGTGTGTATGTGTATCTATATATATATAAAAGAAACCTTTTTTTTCTTTTCTCGATGAAGACATTAAAGTCAATTTATGTGGGCTACCTACCTTACTTTAAAAATGTTTTTGTTTAAAGAAATTTGAGTCACGATGTGAATCACATAGCTTTAGTTTCTACCAAAGGAAAAAAAGTTTGAGGCATGATAATGAGGAAGAAACTATACTGGATGAAGGATATAGATTAGAGATATGTTTACCGTTTTTCTATCTTACGATATATATTCGTGTGAAAAATTGTTGATCACGTTATGACGAGATGACTTGAAGGAAAAATCTCGTGGGTGGAGAGGAAAGGATATGGATGAGAAGAGAAATGAAGAGGAAAAAAAAGGGGAAAAGGGGAGTTTGGTGTTGGTAATGTGAGGACAAAGGCTATCATGAGGGATGAAGTTGCATAGCTATGTTTAGAAAGTGATACTATGCTATTCTATGAGATATGATATTCTATGAGATATGAAGAGGTCGTGCCTCAATTCAAGATATCAGTTGCTCATTAGTGTGGCAGTGCAACTGTATCTTCTGTGACTGCACAGGTCTCGAACGCTCCTCCACCTTGATCGATAGCATGCGAATACTTGAAAAAGAAAGGGGAGAGGAGAGAGTATAAAAGTACTCCCTATATAACCTATTTGTAGGCTCTCATTACATCTTTAACCTAGTAAATATCTATATGCTTTACTTTGGGCTCTAAATATCTATATGCTTTACTTTGGGCTCTAGGAAGTTTCGTCCTAGATTCCAATAGCAATTGAGTATACCCCCACGTTCCAAGCGGGTCTTTGAACTGAAATGTACCCCTAATGGTCTGTACCAGTTTTCCAATCTTTCTTTTCTATGACTTAGGTGGCTTGCCTTGTTTCTATGTAGTGAATGACCAGTGTTCTAAGTTGAGGTGCGACCTTGAGACAGTATGTCTGGATCTGAATTTGAACATCATCCATGGAGTTAGCTGACGAACTCTCCCACGGGACCATAAAGTCGCCAAAGTTTGGGGGAAGCTGTAACACCCGCTCATCAACAATACGATTAACAGGAGTTATCATCGACATTGATAACAAACTCGATCTGCCAAACATAAATTTTTCAAACATTTCATAAGTAAAATATTTAAAACCGGTTCTGTTTAAAACATTATTAACCAACATAAATCTTAAACAACGAAAACATAATTACATAAACAGACCCAGACATGGATTCCCAATAGTCTCTAGCCCGCTGGTATCGTCCTCGATTGGCCTGCATCATCTAAATTTGGAAAGAAAAATTATAATAATTTGGATGAGTAATTAAATTACCAAGTAGCTAACTTATCTTTCATGAGTTCATAACTAATCTTTCCAGTTGTTTAGGTTAATGACTCTTTTTTAATATGCTTTTCTAGAATTTTCGGACTCGTATGTAAGACTCGCTCTCGGTCAAATACGGCCCGTCTACTAGTTTCTCTGGCGGCCTGTATATCTCATATACCAAGGGTCAGGAGTACTCATTCTCTCTGACTTAGCACATAGTGCGTTGGTCAGAAACTCCGCGAGAATTAGTAGACTATCATACTCATATAAATAAGCCATGACTCAACAATCTATCAGCATATCTTAAAGTCATAACATTTCCATTAACATGCTTAGCATACTCACATCTGATGCATGCTTTCATACGTTTATAATGTTTGACACATAGAACATTTTAGTAATCATTTATAACATGCTTACATCACAGGCAAGCAGTCACAATACACAACTAGACAATCAATAACATCACATCACATATTAACATACTAAGTTCTTAATCAGGTAAACAACATACTCACATGTTGTAAAACAAGTTAAGAACTAGTTCAAAGATCGTTATGCTACTTACTTGGTTTTGAATCCCTTTTTTCCTTGGATGTACGTTTAATAGGTTATTTCAACCAAGTTCCTTCCAATTAGACCTATTTTTCACCATTTTCAAGATAAGTATAGACCAATTTTGATAGGACAGGTCAAAAGGAGTCAAACGGGACAAATCGGGAATCAAAATAGCTTCACACACCCTGCCCGACCAACACAAGTTCGGGGTGGTTTTTCTCACGCGCCTGGTCCATGCACGGTCGCGGCCTCCCACGCGCCTTGCGTGTACCGCATGCTCTTCTTCTTCTTCCTTTGATTTCCTGCGATTTTTCAACTTAGCTATTAATGCCCTTATGTCCTAAAGCCATATTCCATCTCTACAGCTCGGATTTCGTTCCGACATCTTCTACAACTTTATAGATCTCCTTATTACGGTTCTAACAAGTCCTATTTCATAATTTATTATGCAATATGGACCAAGATATCGAAATTTAAAAGTTCGGTGATATGGGTTTTGCGTTACCTTCGAATAATCGTTCGATTCAGCTCATTGTCGTGTCCCCTTCCTCAAAGGATTCCTCAGCAACAATCTCTCTTTCCTCACTCTCGATTGACAACCAAATTTAAGCAAACCAAACTCGAAATCTCAGAATTTTTTTTTTCCTCCTCTGTTTTCTGGGTGTCGTTTCTCCGCTGCTCTTCATTTTAAATCCAAATCAACTCTCCTATCTTGCTTCCAACACCAACTAGCAAACCCTTCATCATCCCAACACTTACAGCCCACGCGTCCATTCCCCCTTTTCCTCCATTACCGCAGCTGTTTGACGTGTTTTTCGTTTCTTATTTTATTTTATTTTAAATTTCCGTATTTTCAAATTTTATTATTATTATTATTATTATTCTTATTCTTCTTATTATTATTCACAAACACAACATCAAATAAATACAAAAATACATATTGTCATTACTATTTTAGATTAGTACCGAAGCCATCTCACATGTGTCGGTCAACTACTAGGTCAACCTATGTGGTCCCCTGCTCAGGGATGAGTTTACAGCACAGGGGTCATGTGACCCCTGGTCATTTCCACTGGGTTGGGCACATGTCGCGCTACCTTAACTGGGGACGACTAGCTCCACAGTATAGAAATCGGAGTAGAGTCTCAATAGTATGGTACCGGAGCAAAAAATGTAGTGGACAGCCTGATGACACTATTCACACTTTATAGCCTTATGAGCTACCTTGGTCGTTCTTGGTTGTTGTGGAGACCTATGAGGTTCTTAGGGGCTTCTAGGCAGTTTAAATCTAATCTTTTATTTCTAGGACATTCCAAGTTAGCTCCTCGGGCCAAACCATTTTTTGAATGCACATAGGTCTAAACCTCTGATCGCTCACAATCTTTGGGTGCAAGGTCTACTGGAAACATACTGATTTGGGTCAACATGTAAGCCGTACTAATTGTAGTGCCCTAATCTCAACTATGTTCTCTCGTACATGCTTTTCTAGGGAGGTTTTCTTATTGATCACCTAAGCATGTAAATCATAATTTAAACTTTGCCTTGGTCATATTTGGGAGCTGAAGAGGTCTATTGGGTCTTACAGTGGCTAGGTGACGTAATGTGCTTCTAACTCTAGGCTATTCTGTTTTAACTCCTCGATTCTTTCTTGGTCTGGAAGCACTAGAGTCTAAATCCTTTGGTTGTTGTTCATGACCCTACGGTGCTTAGTCTTCTAAATGTGTTTTGACCTAGTACATAAACACGCTCTATAGAGAGAACATACAGTCAAACACTTGAAGCTAACACATACTATATCATGCACACATACAAACAAACAAGCTCAATAGGGACTAATGGTGACATTTTTAACTTGATGAAATAAACTTAAATTTTAAAATTCAACTAGACTAGATAAATATAAATTTAAATTTGTAATTAAAATAAATAAATAAATAGAGTGTTCAACCGTCAAAGACACGTTGATTATGGGCCCCTGTTTCGTCCTTGAATTCAGGGCACAAATTTATTTATTTATTTATAAAGAAACCAAGAAAAAATGGGTTTGGATCGAATACGGACAATCCCACGTGAAAGATGGTTGACGGCTGCCGTTTGACGACAGTGATTGCGGGAATTTTGTCATTGTCGGTAGTCAACGTACGACATTTACTTTTAGTTTTCTATTCCATTTCGACTACTTTTTTAAACATTATTTATTTATTTATTTATTATTATTATTTTAACAAATAACAATTTTTATGTGTGAAATTGGTGGCTCTACTGATCTTACATTAAAAGAGGTTAATTACTTTGGTTCATGCTTTTTAATTTTAGGTTTTGGAGGGAAATAATGTTTTTTTTATTTACCTATTTATTTCCAATTATTCAAGAAAAACAAAATAAATTTATTCAGTATAAAATTTAAGGCTGAAAGAGCTATCTCGATTGTAATCAATCAAGGTTGCTCGTGAATATGAATATTATGAGTATAGACTCTCTATAATAAATGTGTAAAAACACTAATCATAAAAATCCTAATGGTATAATACTTTCGTGAGCTTAGAAAAACTTAATAATTAAAACTTAGAAATAAAGTTTTTTTTTCCCCAATTTTCGAGTAACAAACATACATGAGTTTTAAGAAAAAAAAAATACAATAGATGAAGAGAAGGGGAGATTGAGAAATCAACCCATGATTCAATATACTGATAGACTTTTAAGATCGGCTGTGTGAAGATAGTCAGAGCCACTCGGCATTTCTCTCCGTTCGACCGCCTACTTGGCGACGGCGAAGGAGGTCTTCCTCCTTCCTCAAGCTCTTTTGCCGAACCGGCGACGGAGGTGAAGGCCGGGCTCTCTTTAGGGTTTTTGATCTCGACATCCTTTGGGGAGACGGTTGCTGTGGAAAATGGCGGATCACCGGGGAAACGGGCTTCATGGGCGACGAAAAGGGGTTAGGTTTAAGGGAATTGACGCGAAGGAGGGGAGAGTTATGCTTATAAGACGACCCCAAGTAGTCATCGGAGAAAATTAGGGAACGTGAAGTTGAAGGTGAGAAAGAGGGGATTGTTGTAGTTGAAGAAGAGATGGAAGAAGGGGAAGGAGGATAAGGAGAGATTTTGTTATTAAGAGAGAGAGGAGGAGGTGCTGCTGATGTTAATGGAGGCGGTTGAGGAATGACAGCGAGCTTGTGTCGGACAAGGTTGTTGAGATCAAAACGAGGTTGTCGTTTGATGGTCTTGGGTTTGCATTTGCTAATGCAACATCCCATTTTGATTTGTGGGTTGTCTTCAAATTGCACCAAAATGGGAAGGATGAATGTTTGAACATATAAAGGGAAAGTTGTTGGAGAAGTGGAAGCTTTATTTTGTTTAATGTTCTTTCCTCTCTCTTCTCTTTTTTCTTTTACTTGTCGCCAAGTTTTTTGAATTTGGTTCCCTCTCAAATGAAAGCTTTGGTTGATCATTAGGGAGGAGAAATGGAACTTAAATTTGAATTTGTTGTTTAGTCCAAGTTCAGACATCGTCTGTTTGGTCCATTACGTATCTCGTCAGGTTCACGGTTTAAAAACATGTCTACCATGGAAAGGGTCTAGTCCTACTCTGACTAGTGTCTTGCACTGTTCGATAACTAGCTCTAACACCATTTGAAATATCTCAATCCCACTATTGTTAGATATGGTCTGTTTTGACCTGTTACGGATTGTTGTTAGTCTCACAGTTTTAAAACGCGTCAACTAGAGAGAGATTTCCACAAATGTTTCGTTCCCATTGGTTTCTCTCCCTAACCAAAGTGGGATCTCACAATCCACCTTCTTTGAGGGTCCAACGTCCTCTCTAGCATAGTGCCTGGTGTCTAGCTCAAATACCATTTGTAACTGTAACAACTCATACCCATTGCTAGCAGATTTTGGACTTTCCCTTTTGTGCTTCCCTTTAATGCTTTAAAACGCGTCTACTATGAAAAGATTAAAACACCCTTATAGAGGATGTTTCGTTCTCCTTCCCAACTAATGTGGGATATCACAGTAACAGCTCAAGCTCAGATATTGTTCACTTTGGCCCGTTACATATCGCCGTCAACCTCAAAATTTTAAAACTCGTCTACTATGAAAAGGATCTAACCTTTCTCCAACCAATGCCTTCCACCATTTAATGAGTAGCTCTAATACCATTTGTAACAGCACAACTCACCACTAATAGATATTGTCGGCATTGGCCTGTTACGTAATCATTGTCAAGCTCATAATTTTAAAATCCATGTACTAGAGAGATTATCACTCTTACAAGGATTACTTCACTCCTCTTTCCAACCAAACACACATGATATTTACAGCTTTATTTTGTTTTACTGAAAATTGCTGAACAAGATTAAGACACGAGTTCTAAATTAAGAAAGGAAAAAGTGACTACTTCAACTGCATAAATAAAAACATTTATGATAAGATCATCTACCATGTTCGACATGTGGCAATTCCAGCTTTATGCTATCATCCACAGCGCCCATACTTCCACTCTCAACAAATGGGCTCGACTCTTGTGCGGCGGATAACCTAACATTGGCCCATGAATGCTCACCCTTCGTCGCTCGCAGCGCCTCCAACTCCATAGCCACTTCCTTCATGTCCGGCCTATCGTCCCCTTTGATTCTCACACACTCTTTCGCTAGCTTAGCCACTTCTTTTATTTGCTCAAAGTTGGCCTCACTCACCATTCCCTTATCCACCACTTCTTCAAAACGGTCTTCTTTCATTGCACAAAGGACATACATGGCTAGATTTCGATCTTCTTCCGGCCCATCAAACCTCACCGCTTTCTTTCCCGTTATAAGTTCCAGAAGCACAATTCCAAAGCTATACACATCACTCTTCTCAGTTAACTCGCTCGTCAATAAATACTCAGGGTCTAAGTACCCAAGAGTCCCTTGCACGAGCGTGGTTAGCTGAGTGTGATCCTTAGGAACCAACTTGGAAGCACCAAAATCAGACACCTTTGCAGTGTAATTATCGTCTAAAAGTACGTTGGTGGTCTTGATATCTCTATGGATGATGGGAATAGAAGCCGAAGAATGCAAATACGAAATGACACCGGCTGTTTCCGAGGCGATTCTCAAGCGAGCTTCCCAAGAAAGAGGGACGCGTTTGGTAGTGTCATGGATGTGATCGAAGAGGGTGCCGTTGGTGACGAACTCGTACACCAACAATGGGACTTGGGTCTCTAAACAGCACCCTAAGAGCTTGACCACGTTTCGATGGTTGATTTGGGAAAGAACAACGACTTCATTGATGAATTGGGATGTTTGGGATTCGTCCATGAATTTTGATTTCTTGATTGCAACGGTGAGTCCATCGTCCAAGACACCTTTGTAAACGGTACCGTAGCCACCTTTGCCAGCAATGGTGTCTTTGGCGTAGTTGTTGGTGGCCTTCTCCAACTCTTCTTGGCTGAAGATTCTTACGATGTCTTTAGGTGAATTGCATTGAGAAAGCTGTCGTTGAAGCACAAAGCCTCCGTTTTTGTGGAAAAAGCGCTGTTTTTGTTTGATGAACTTCAACTTTTTGTAGCATAAGTATATGGTTGTGGTGGCAATTAGTAGAACTGCGAGGCCTAACCCAATTCCTGCATTTTATTTGTATTGTTGTTTAGTATATTATAGTGAAAAACATGGGTGAAGAACAACATGGATGAAGAACATATAAAAACTCACCAATGATGATAGGAATGGAAGAGGTGGAATTTTTGGTGCAACCTTTTCCGCCTTTTCTTCCATCTCCATGGAAGTTCTTGGGACAATGACAGGTATAGTTTCCTTCGGTGTTAGAACACTTGTTCTTGTGCTCACAGTCATTCAGCCATGGATACGTGCATTCATCCACATCTAAAAAGGGTTCAAATAATCCTAATAAAACTTATTTTAAAATCATTCATAAATTGCCTAACCAGATATTGTCTGTTTTGGCTCATTACGACGCGTTTGCTACGGAGAGGTTTCCACAACCTTATAGGGAATGTTTTGTTCCCCTCTACAACCGATGTGAGATCTCGTAATCCACTTGCTTAGAGGCCAGCTTTTTTACTGGCATTCCGTTTGGTGTTTAGCTTTGATACTATATGTAACAGCCCAAGCCTATTGATATTGTCGGTTTTGACCCATTAGACGTATCGCCGTTAGTCTCACGATTTTAAAACGTGTGTGCTGGAGAGAGGTTTCTACAACCTTATAAGAAATGCTTTGTTCCACTCTCCAACCGATGTGGGATCTCACAATCCACCCCCTTGGAGGCCAGCGTCCTCGCTGGTACACTGTCTGATGTCTAACGCTAATACAATTTGTAACAGCCCAAGTCCACTGATATTGTCCGTTTTGGTCCGTTACGTATGAGACTAACGGCGATTTTAAAACGCGTTTGATAGGGAGAGGTTTCCAGATCCTTATAAAGAATGTTTCATTCCTCTCTCTAATCGACGTGGGATCTCACAATCCGCCCCTGTGGGGGCTACTGTCCTCGCTGGCACATTGTTTAATGTCTAGTTATGATACCATTTGTAACAGCCAGCTCAAACCCATCGCTAGCAGATATTGTCCGTTTTGGCTCGTTATGTATCGCTGTCAGCCTCACCGTTTTAAAACGCGTATGTTAGAGAGAGATTTCCACGCCCTTATAAAGAATGTTTCGTTCTCCTTTCCAACTGATTTAAGATCTCACCTACCCCAAGAGATAAATAAGAGATAAATAAGGCTTTACCTTGGCATCCGTGAGGGAGATATGGATTCCCCTCGTAACCATCCAAGCATTTGCAACGATATTGAGTTCCATTAAAGATACTATTCCTTGTGGTGTTTGATCCACATTCAAATTTTAATTGATTTCTAATGCCCCAACTAAGCACAACCTCAACTTCCTCCTCTTCAAACTTATCAATATACCTTGACAAAAACTTGAACCTCGCAGCTTCAATTATAAAAGCATATCCACAGGGACTGAATTTCCGTACTTCAGGGTAATTGAACAGCTCACCCACTGCCAAACTCAATTTGGTGAACCCTTTTGGAATATCCAACTGACAGCACCCACTCCCAGAACACAACCCATCAACGACACTACTTTTCCTCGTACACACCGAAATACACCAACTTTCATCGTTAGTCCCTTGGTCATCCCCCAAGATTAACCCAACATGATTGCACCCGATGGTAATGAACTTATTTTTGGAACGAGAAAGTGGGAACATGTCCGGCACAGAAATATCCGCGTCGTTCATATCTAAATAATTATCTCCGTGGCTGTAACAATTTCGTACTATCGGCCGCAACACATGAAGCTCACCGTTAGTAGATATATTCATAACACTAATATTGGTATGCATTAAAAGCGCCTTTGGAGGTCGGTTGCGATCGGTTTTGTGGCAAGTGATCGAGAAGTTTTGATTGAGATAGCACCCTTTTTTGATGCCGAATGGATATGGAATGTGCACCTTGCCACACCATTCGTCGCACCCGGGTAAGGCTTGAGACGCTGCCACGGCCAAGGCTGTTGATAATATGGCTATCTTCATCATCATCACCATGAATGCCATGATGGGTTTGATGTTCATCACCATGAGAGGACAGGGCTGTTGTTGGTGTGTATAAATTGTAAAGATATTAAAGAGTTCATCGCAGAAAGTGGGTGTGTGGGCATTCCACTACGCATGTGGTGTGGCGTGTAATGGATGGAAAAGTGCGTTCGTAAAAAGTAAGTAATAGACATTACTAAAGCTTAATAATTCAAAGGTAAAAAAGATAGAAGACAAACAATGGCTACAAATGGTGCCAAGTAACCCTATTTAGGGTTTCAATGTGTTTTGTGGAGGTCTCTGTGTGTTCTTTTTCTTGTTCTCACCATAATGGAATTGAGACCCTATATTAATCCTATTGATTTGGTTGGGTCAGTTCCAATTTTTGAATTTATGTTTTATATTTTGGCTTATGTTCAAGCATGGTTAAGAATTATTGGTAATTAAGAGAAAGATCATGAACTTATACGTAAACAACATCTGTTTTAGTATGAGATATTTTTTTAGAATATTTAAACTTCAACCACCCGATTTAAAGATGAAAAATTTGAAAAATAAAAGATAGAGGAACTTCAATTGCATGTATATATGCAAAGTGAGTGGTAGGAAACTCATCTTTCTAGCATGGTTTACAATGACCCATAGGCTAAGAGCATGAGGGCTTGAGGGAGGCGCGGATTGGGAAGTTGACTGTGATCCAACCATTGTACAGCTGATGTTGACTGATGGCTTATCTTGCCAAGAGGGCATTCAGATCGAGTTGGGTTGAAAAGTATGGTCTTTGGCCCAGAATCTCACTACCACCTATGCATGTGCGAAGTTGCGATATTGTAGAGGAAAAAAAATCTAGGTACACATGAGCGTGGTGGTCCATGCAAGATTGTTGTCACCACGGATGCAGAATGCAGTGTGTATATATAATATATAAAAGAAACCATTTTTTTTTCTTTTCTCAGTCCTATTTGATGAAGACATTAAAGTCAATGTATTTGTGTTACACTATATCGGTCCTACTTGATGAAGACATTAAAGTCAATTTATGTATGTTACACTATCTTACTTTAAAAATATATTTTTTTTAAAAGTAATTTGAGGCACGATATGAATCACATAGCTTTAGTTTCAAAAAAAAAAAAAAAAAAAAAAAAAAAAGTTTAAGGCATGATAATAAGGGAGAAACTATTTTGGATGAAGGGTATAGATTAGAGATATGTTTACCGTTTTTCTATTTTACGATATGTACTCGTGCCAAAAATTGTTGTTCACGTTATGATAAGATGACCTAAAGGACAGTCTAGTGGGGTGCATAGGAAGGGATATGGATGAGAAGAGAAATGAAGAGGAAGAAGAAAGGGGAAAAGGGGAGTTTGGGTGTTGGTAATGTGAGGACAAAGGCTATTATTGAGGGATCAGTTGCATAGCTATGTTTAGAAAGTGATACTATACTGTTCCATGAGATTAGTGCCTCAGTTGCTAGTTAGTGTGGCAGTGCAACTTTACTAAGTATGAGAAAAAAAAAAAAAAAAAAAAAAAAAAAAAAAAAAAAAAAAAAA